GTTCAATACTTTTTCCCTGTGCCATTCCACATTATTACAAATCTTTGTATGTATGGATCACTTGGGTTGTTACCGACATCTGGTGAAAATTTCATGTCATTAGCACCTCTAGTAATATATTTACTGAGAAAAATGTTGACGTGTTCAATACTTAGTTTACCCGCTGTATGATTTTTTTTTAAAAAAGTTGAAATGTTAGTAAATATTTAAATAAAGACACGTGTGCTATTTGTGAATCCAACTATGTTTTCATTGACACACATTCAACTTGTGTTTGAGGAAGTAACTTTATGTTATAAATTGAGGTTATACAGCTGAAAGTGAATAAAAGGAAAAATAACTTTCTCCTGAAAGGCTCCCCTTCCTGGCAGCTGAACACATAATTTAGATGTTCTCAGCACACGGCAGGCCTTTTGAGATGTAGAAATGCAAATGAAAACAGTAACATTAAAAGAAAAAAGTTTCAGCGATTCATAAAAATATGATAAGATACAGAATTTTTTACCTTTTTAAGGGCAAAGCTAATTTAAAATGAAATGAGGTGAAATTGAAAACTCTGTTGCTAAATCAAAATTTAATATTTCTTTAAAACATTCATTTAAAATGTAACCCTTCTGCACACTGCAGATCCCTGTCTAAGAGAGAGATGAACTCTTAAACTTGTTGTTGGGACCCAGATGGTGTTTCAATGGGGTGTTTTTTTTTTTTATTATTTATTTATTTATTTATATATTTTTATGTGTAGCGCAGGCAGCATTTCTGAAAAGACAGCACTACTGTACTGGCAAACAATGCATATGACTTTTTAAAAGGCATATTTTACCACTTAAATAGTCTGAGGCTGCAGCATCAGAAGTAAATGAGTTTGAACAACCACATCTGCTAACTGCAAACTGCACAAAACGCTGCCAAGAATCGGATCACTTAAAGGAAAGTGTGATTAAAAATGACGTCGAAAGGCTCAAAAGACCTGTTCAACGTACACAACCAGCTTAATGCAAACATTTATAAGCTGTTACCACTTATACCAGCTTGTATTAATAGCAGCTATTACTTGCCCATTAACGTCACCTAATTCATGTAGTGTGTCATAGAGCAGGGTCAGCAGGATCTGAGAGTTGTTATATAGAAATAATACCAACAGAACTGCTTGTAAACTTCTATTAGGAACCCTTAAAAGTCATTCAGCTGTAGGACAACTGATCCATAGCTGACCCTGACCGCTGACCTTACTGTGCTGATGAGATGTATGTAACATAAAAACCAGAGCAAGTGTCTCTTCAGCACCATAACCACAAATCTAGAGGTTTCAGAGTAAATGTGAAACAACAGATCGAAATATAAAATGTCACGGTAAATTATGAATCAAACAGAACTTCTCCGACATTATTCTATAATAGAATGTGAATAGAATTTCATTCATGACTGCGGCTCAGCGGAGTGAGACATTGTTTTCTTTGTTGCATCTCTCGAGGCTGTTCAATTACACTCCTTAGTCGACTTTGTGTAAGCTAACGGTCAGGCTGCGAGAAGATTGATGATTTGTCTTTGATAATTTCCACTTCGGTGACTCGGATGTCTCTCCCCCCAACTCACTTTTATTGTCGCGCACACCCCAGTCAGTAAAGCTTGTGAATAAACAACAAACATTGTAGGACATGTTTCGCTCGTGTACAGAGGCACACTCGCTCAGCGGCTCCGTGGCTGCCGGGTTCGCCTCTAAACTGGATGTTAAATGAGGCGTGAGATGATATATTGGGTTTATAATTTTTCTTCATTTACTTGTTTTTTTTTTCTAATCTTATTTCAAAGTCAGTGCAAACAAAACACAGAAGCATAGCACCTCTGAGATGATAGTTTTACTTTGTTTTCTTTTGCTTCTATTGGTCTTCTCCATCTGTCTTGCTGGTGGATGTCGTCAGAAATCTTAGAAAAATAAGAGCGAGGGTGTGGGCGTGTGAGCTCCCTCTGTGTTTTCAAGCTCGATTTTTTTTCTTAAATTACATCAAAGACAGGTTTTCTATTTCAACTTTTCCACTTTTTTTCTATTTATATCTTCYTTTCTGTCCTCCCACCCCCTACCCGCCTCACTTCACCTCCTCGGCTTCCTTCATCTCCAGACGGTAGAGAACTGTGTTTGTATTCTGAGGAACCTGTCGTACAGACTGGCTGCTGAGACATCCCACGGCCAGCAGGGTGGTTTGGAGGAGCTGGACGGGCTGCTTTGTGATGCCAACGGTTGCGAGGGCGAGAGCTCCGGMTGCTGGGGGAAGAAGAAAAAGAAAAAGAAGGGCGCCGACCAGGTAAAGACGATGATCAWACAAGTTGATAAGCATTGGAGAAAATAAGAGTTTAATAAACTGGATGGGTCCAAAGACTGAATTAACATTTTGAACTTCAGGTTTAGCCATTCCGGTATCATTTGTCAATGTAGATAATCTAGTACTGTGATTCCCAAACGTTTCAGCTGCAAAAGTTTACAAAGCAAAATTTTGCTRCTTTTTGCTAAAAGTAACACAATAGTAGTAGAATGCTAAAAGTGGCAGTATGGTAGCTAAGAGCTAAAAGAAGACCAGYGATAGTATGCTGAAGCAGGATCTGTTTATTTTCATGGGATGCACCAATATCAGTTTTTCTCAAACCAAGTACAAGCACTTCAGATTGGGTTCTCGCCAATAACTAGCACCGATACGAGTACTTACTGAGTTATGGTGTGTTCACACCAAACACGATTTCAGCACCAGGAGCATCAGGTTTACATGCAAAGTCTATGGTGGACACACTTCAATCAGCGTCGGGAAGTGCTGCGGCACCTCAAGCGYGATTAGAGCAGCGCGATTTRAACGATTTGAACRATYTGAGCGTTCGACGTGCTTGATGCTCAAATCGCTGAAGTAAGAAAATCTGAACTTTTGCAGCTCATCACGCTGCGTCAACCAATCAGAGAGACTCCACTGTGTGACGTAGCAACATATTTCCCGACGGGACAGTTTACCGAATGATGTCCACTAACCTGAAACAGATGGAGAGGAGCTCTTTAGCTGAAATCGAGTGCCTGCAGTCGTGTCCTGACAGGAGATATCTGCACCAATGCGTGGCAGCGGCTCATCAGACTGGACTCGGGACAAAAATAGTCCTGAAAGCGAGCTGTGAGCCTCTCCTGCAGCTCCTGGGTGATGAAACTCAGAATGTCTCTGAATTACCTGGTGAATTAATTATGAATTAATTATCTGATGAACGTGACATGCTCTTGCTGTCTGTAAATAAAGCAAAGCCACTTCCTTGTCCGACATTAAACAGAGCCCGACAGAGGAGGGAGGGGCGGGGAGGCTCTTGCTGTGCAGCGCTTCAAGAGCTGACCTGCGTCTGACCTCAAAGTGCACAAGCGTCCAACTTGAAGCGTTGGATGCGATTTTGAAGCTGAAATCACGTTCGGTGTGGATGCAGCATTAGAGCCTAAACATTAAACAGTGATTATAAAAACACTAAACCTCAGTTGAAACCAGTGGTTTCTAATCCTGGACCATTACTCTGCATGTTTAGTTGTTTCTCTGCTCTTCAGCAGGTATTTAAGCTCTGCAGAAGCCTCTCAATTACTGAAAACATCCAAAACATGCAAGATAGTGTTCCTCAAGGACCAGGATTGAGAACCACTCGTATACAGTGGTTTGCAAAAGTATTCATACCCCTTGAACTTTTCCATATTTTGTCACATTACAACCACAAACATAAATATATTTCACTGGAAT